ACTTATTTGTTCCAAAAATTGTCCAATGACTTATTTAACATTTTTTGGAATGTCCAAGGACTTATTTGTTCCAAAAATTGTCCAATGACTTATTTAAAATATTTTGGAATGTCCAAGGACTTATTTAACATGTTTTGAAATGTCCAATGACTTATTTGTTCCAAAAAAAAGTTCAAGAACTTAATCATTCCAAACAAGAAAGTTCATTGGTTTTTATTGTATTTTTCCCTTTTAAATATAGTTATCATTTAAACTAGACCATCTTTAACCCCTAACAAAATACTCATTATTTTTATAAAACAAATCATAATAAAACTATATTGATATTCTATGTTTTTAAAGTATTCAGCAACTATTAAACATCAAGAAATGAATCTGAAACCAAAGGGCATTTGTCCTAACGCTATGTGAGTCATTAGCCTCCTAGGAAGTCAAGGATTCAAACCTCAACAAAAGTAAGGAGGATGTGTAAGTTTATTTGTTCTATTTATCGTATATAAATATTGTATATATATACAACACAAAAAGAATGGGAAAATGCTTTATGCCATGGGCTATTATTGGCTGGCTCCTAGTTGGCCTTCATCTTCAGGGAAACACTGCACAAACAAAGGAACAAACATTTAATCCATAAATTACAACACAAACTAACATGTTCAAAACAACCACTATACTCTTTCTGGATAAATGTCAGTTCTGCATACATCTTATCCTTTCAGACTCTGTTTTCGAGTGGGATTTACTGGGTTTGAAGAGCACCATAAAGATGACTTACCTATTGATGCAATAACGTTTCCCGGTGGGTGGAGGACCATCATCAAAGACATGACCAAGATGAGCATCACAAACTGCACACACAACTTCCTGTCGAGGCATGAAGATGATCGATAGGTCTAGCTTCGACTTCACGTTACTTCCTATTGGCTCATAGTACGATGGCCAACCAGTTCCGCTATCGAACTTTGTGGACGACCTTTAAAAAATCCACAACTTCAAATCGTATATTCACAAAACACAAGAATATCATTTACTCTCGTTTGTTTCTAACTTACTCGAACAGTGGAGTATCGCAACAAATGCAATGGTACGTTCCCTTGGTTTTCGTGTTCCAGTATTCCCTGAACGTAAAGTTGTCACAAACTATCATCACCAACAAACAAAAAAGTCGTCGTTTCCATAGTCATAAAGGACGTGTTTGTTGGTAGCTTAATAAGCTTAATAGGACTCGTAACTTTTATACATGATTGTTCGGTAATGGCTTAATGATACAGAAAATGGCTTATTCAGTGAGGAACCAAGTTTTTCCGAAATATGCCGCTACCAATAAAAAACACGTATAAAAAACCCTCTCAAATAAAATCCTCTCAATCTATACAGACTGACTAATTCACACATGACTTGATGGAAAACCAACAGAACAGACCCAAGTCCCATATCAACTAAGAAGGTAAGTGGAATTAAGAAGTTAGCATACCCAGTGAATGCCCTTTCTGTTCCTTTTTGTCGAGTTACATAAAACTGATCCCCAGTGAGTTTCTTCTTCCATTCTTGATCACTAACAGATTTATAATCCATCTTCCCCGCTTCTGCAAATTGATCAAACATCGAATCTGTTTACGGAAAGCAGAATGAATCTGAACGGGAGAGAAGAGGGTTTACAGAATTCTAATATCACACAACAGAAATTGTTGCAAATTTGAACTTGGAATTGGTGTGAGCTGCAGTTAGAAACACAATCCTTGAAGTATGTGTGCTAACATGGCCTCAGAGCTTATTAATTTCATTCAACTAATTCAAATATTTCAGTTCATATGAACACAAGATAACATCAGATTCGGATTCAAAAACAGATAAATAAATGAAAATTTATGAACACAAGAATACATAGACTGGGCTTCAAAACCTTGAGCTGTGGCGTCTGGTTTCTGCGATGAAGAAGACGAAGAACCCATGGAGCGAATTGATGGAGAAAATCGGGTTGTGGGTATCGTTAATAGAAACCGATTTGATGATATGAGACCCGAATTGAATGTGGGTTTGGTGGAATAGTGAAGGCGGAGACTTAAATTGCTGGGTGTGAAAGAATGGGAAGCCATCGGAGAGAGTCAAAGGAATACAGCATTCTGGGCCTTTGGTAAAACATATTGCGTGCGTATGAGTTCAATGGTGTGGAGGTGATTTTGACAAACGGCTAAAGTTTTGACCATGTATTTATGACCCGGCCCAGATATTAAACGTATTAATGCCCGGGTCCTAAATTCGGATCCAAACACCACCCGTAAATTTCTAATATTTCTACCTTAAAATCTTAGGTGGAGTTTGGTTTGTAGATTTTGTAGGAATCTGAGGAAATTGAAATGTTGAATTTCATTGACCAAATTTCATTCTCTCGTTTGATTCATTTTTTTTCACGAAAGGAATCTTCAAAATCCTACAAATTCCACAAATAAAAAAATTTAACATTCCTTAACAACTACATGGTATTTTGATGGAATGGAATATCTATCTTCATTACACCAAATATGCCCTTAACTTAATACACTCTAATCTAAAAAAAACTTAATATGACCATCGTCGACTACCTCTCGCTCACTATTGATCTGAACCACCGTCGACTACCATCGCTGACCACCACAACTGATATGAACCACTACCGACTACCACCAATTTGAACCACCACGACTACCACCGGTCTGAACCACCGCCGACCACCACCATCGAGTACCATCGATCTGAACCACCGCCGACCATCACCACCGACTACCACCAATCAGAACCACCGACTACCACTGATCTGAATTGCCACCACCGCCTATCTGAACCACCGCTGACCGCCTCCATCTGAACCACTGCGGACCACCATCGATCTGAATCACTACGAACCACCACCAATCTAAACCACCGCCGACCACTGTTGATTTGGTAACGTCGTTTGTCTTATGATTATATTTGGGCTGTGTATTTTATATTGTTTTACATATTAAATAATTATTTTATTAAAATATTTTTAGTTTTAAAAAAACAAAATTTTCAAAAGAGACATTTTGGTCATTTACCAATATTTTATTCTAATTCTAAAGCTACATTCTGTAAACTAAACAGACAAATTCCAATTTCTTAATATATTTCATTCCAATATCTACCAACCAACAAGTGGTCAAACCTGACAACATTCCATTCGAATTTCTTCAAAATCACATTTCTTTAACAGATTCTATTTCATCCAAAACATTCTACAAACCAAACGCCACCTTAGATCCCATTTAGGTATTTCATAGGATTTCATAAAATTTATATATAATTATTTAGAATTTGTTTTTATAAATTATTTATAAAACAAATAGAATTCAATTTCATTTTAAATCTTACAAACCAAATATTCAAAATCCTTCCAAATTCAAATAACTCCAATACCAAATACTTTGATGAAATCAAAATCCAAGTCTCAAAGCTTTTTCATTATCCAATTTCATGTTCAATTCTTATGAACAAATGAATTATATGAGTTGAAATGTTGAATGCTACCAAATCCTTCAAACAACTACGAAAATATATGGGAATCGTTATTAAAAAAGAGAATCTGAATTACCCTAAAAATCATACAAATATAAGAATTCATGCTCTTAAAAGTTCTATTCCTAACATCAACTATCAAAACCACTTTAAAGTTGGCTCTTCTCCGGGGCCATTAGGATAAGTCGAATAAACACAAACCGACTAAAAAACCAATGACTAATATCAAAACTACTTTGAAGCTATAATCAATCTTGTCACTTGTCTTCATTTCTTGCCACTATCTTGTACTTCCCTGTTGCTTGTTGCTGCAAACAAAACAAGATTCAACAACATATTACAACACATCAATGCCAATAACCATTTTCTTGTATCAAATTCTGTGAATAAATCTTTTGATTCACATGTGAATAAAATATTACCTTCATCCACAAATCACTGTGGCTTTTACAGAATCCAGCAACAATGGTTCCTTTGTTTCTGCCTTCCTTATACTCAATACAAAGATCTTCTTTCAATCCACAAGTAACATGAAAACTTAAGCAACACTTCTCTTCAGAGCAATCAATGGCACAACCATTTGATTTCTTGCAGACATAACATCTCTTCCCCCATCTTCTTGAAGGAACCATGGAACAATCAATCCCTTCTCGTCCTTCTGGGTCACTGAAAAAGACTTCTGGAATGAACAATGCACACACAATATGTGCCCATCCGCCATTGTTGGTGGGCTTTAAAGCACCTCCATTAATGGGACAAAGACAACAAGATAAACCCTTGTTTTTATCAGTAATTTGGCATTGAGAACAAAACCAGTCGCCTTCGGGGACACCCTTTGTGAGTGGATCGCCATAGCAAGTGGTGTGAACCATTAGATCACAACCATCACAGAATACAATTGGATCCGATGGATCTCCATCCGTGCTTTGACATACAGCACACATAATCCCATCTTCTTCTTCTTCTTCTTCCTCTTTTATCTCATCGATTTCATCTCCTTTTTTCGAAACAGATTCTGGGTTGGAAGTATTATCTTCATCTGATTTCGGATCGTACTCAAGATTAAGATCAAATGAAGAAAGGGGTTTCTCGGAAAGAAAATTAGGGTGAAGGGCGGTGATCCTTTTCTTCGCCGGTAAGCAGTAGGTGGCGCCGGCGGCGACGGCATCAAGATTGGTAGGAAACGGCGGTGAGTATCGTGATTCTTTTCTCTTTTTGGCCGGTAGGCATGAAGGGAACGGGAAATTGAAATCAAGGTTATCAATGGCGGGTTTTTCTTGGTGCATAAGCCTGAATCTTTTGTGAGGAGGCAAGCCATGAAAGTTGTTCTCCATTTTTATGGGGTGTGTAGCAGAAGAGAAGAGAAGAGAAAGAGATGGATGACGATTGAAAGAATCGTGATTAGGGTTTCTTAAAGGATTGATTTGGGAAGAAGAAACCCGGGAAGAAGAGAATAAGAACTGATTTGGGGGAAATTTTGAAACCGGCGGGAATGGAAAAACATTGATTTCATTCTAAATTTTGACTTTCGCAAATTCAAGTTTTAAGGTCAAAGTTTTGAAGGCTCCAAATTCTTTCCCACTAAATTATTTTGTATTTTCATTTAAAAATTCAATTTCAAATAATATTTCAAGCAATAAATAAATGCATTAATTTTTCAAAAATATTTTCAAATATCTATACTATATTATAAAACATTTGATAAAAACTTTTAAAAATCATTTTTTATGCATGAAGTACTGTTTATTGATGCATATTACTTAAAACTGAAGATTACAAGTAAATTTTCCGTAAATACAACTTATTAAAGCTTAATGTTTGAATTCGTGTAACTAACTATAGATAAACATAATCAAATAGAGGATACACGTCTCATTTTAAATATAAAAATTTTAAAATATAATTAGGATAATCATTAAGTTCTAACAAAATACTTAATTATTATCTTTATAAAAAATTATATTACCAAACAAAAAAAAAAAAGAATTACAGAAATACATAAAAAAAGGAAAAATTTTAAAGTTATTTTGGTACTAATATCAATATTTTTTTTTTCAGTTTTTCATAATATCGATCGAGACAAAAAAAAACGAAACATTAAAATCGAGATATATCTCGCTGCATTGTGCGAGTACCATTCTAGTTATTATAAATATCTTTTGTCCAATATGTCATTTAATATTTAAAATCATCGATTGTTTTTTTCGCACGAAATAAACTTATTTTACAGATAATAATTTATACCAAGAAACCAAAATACAAAGAAATAAAACTACCAAATGTTCAATTTCACATGTGACAAATTGTAACAAATCGATGTATAGTTTCACATGTTCATTATATATCATGTATCCTCTTGTAAATAAATTCACAAACAATTGTAACAAATGCGTAAATATTTGGTAATAATATGCTTACCAGATTAAAAAATGTCGTTTAAATATCGGGTAAGTTAGATTGTTTACGAGGTTTTTGGGGTTTTTCAGCATAAGTCGTCAGTTTGAGTCTTCACATATTAACTGATGATTTTTCTGGTTGTTATCTTTAAGATCGTATAAAATTGATCGAGATGTATATAAATTGATCTGCACATTTAGAGGTGCTCAAACACCCGATCAACCCAACTCAATTCAACGCCAAATAACTCAATCTGAAGTAACCCGATGTCTAATTGAGTTGTAAAATTTTCAAACCGTAGGTATTGGATTGATATTGGGTTACTATTATTTGAACTCAACCTAACCCGATGAACCCGATATCCATTTATTTATTGGATTTAATATGATTGTTGAATTTCTATTAATATATACACTAGACAATTAAACTATCACGTACGCTATTCATATACACATCTTTTCAATCTATTCATATCTCTATATAACTCATTCGTATATATGTTCAGTAACTACAAACATATATACGTAAATTGAGAAAATTAACTGGATGTGATATATGTAAGAAGTATGGATAAGTTGCATCAAATGGTTGATGATGAAAAAGAAATTATGAGTAGAAAGATAACATATTCAATATTAGAAGAATATTTGAAAGTATCAAAGTATCAACCCGACCAACCCGTACGGTTAGGTTGGGTTGGGTTGGGTTGCACTTTCGTTTGGATTGGATTAAGATTTTTCAAACCATAAGCATTGGGTTAGGTTGTTCAAATGTCTTCAACCTGATCAACCCAACCCATTGACACCCCTATACACATCCATAGGTTAACATTTTTCTTTTTATTTAACAGATAATTTTTCTCCTCAAATATAAAAAACGGTTTTGAAAGTGGATGCGATGACATTAAATACCATCATTTATGGTATGACCCATAATGCCATGATGTTGGTGACTTTACACCGGATAACATTATCCATACATCCACTTTATATTATTTTCTATATTTATAATCATATATATGTTGTATAAATATTACTAGTATTATCCAACACATACATACATGGGATGAGAGGATTAGAGACACAAATAGAATGGATTGTTCTTCGTTGACACTTATCTTCTTCTTCTGTGTCCTCTTTCAAGTATTCTTCTCTATTTCTGAAGCCATTCTTCCTCCCAATCGCTTTCTATAAAACCCTGATCGACAACCTCGTCCCTCATCTCTCTGGTACGCTTCCGACCACTTTGGGTCCATTATTAATTGACGGAAACCTTGAACCCCACACTTATTCATGGAGGTTTTCAATTGCTTACGGTTTCAAAACGGAACACCCAACAACCCGTCATAAAGTGGACCTTCTACTGTTTAACCTTGGAGTCGGAGATGGGATAGAAAAAAAGGCATATATATCGTGTTGCTGTTCAAACGGTATATATGCCGTGTGGTCAGGGTAGAAGCAACTTTTAGCGTCAATGATGCTGTTTTTCTATGCTAAGATCGAAGATGGTCTTATGTGTATGAATTCTTTGTATTTTCTTTCGTTATAAATTATTAAAGCCAACAAAAAAAACATTGTATAGTTTTGTTTATGAATTCATTGTATTTTATTTCTCATAAATATTAACACAAAAAATTGGTTAAGATGAACACCATCATTTTATTGGCACTTGTAGAATGGAATGTTTGATGGATAGGAATGAAAATCAATAAAGATGCTTCATTAAATGTAATAAAATAAATAATTACTTAGAAATAGCTAACTATATGCGCTGTTAGGAACCAGATAAGTACGGTGATTTGCTCAGATCAGGTGAGAAACCCGGCTCACCCGATCCGAACAGGGACGGGAATTCCCCGCTAGAACGGATCCTGGGGCCGAGACCGGGGATCCCTGGTAGACTCAAACTAACGGATATTCTTTACGGGGTTTGACAGAGGTTTGACCGGGAACGGGATATTAATTCCCGTACCCGCTGAGGACCAAGGCCGGGGGCTATTACTAAAAACTGGGTCCAGGGATTACAAAACTTTGCAATGCCTAGAACCGAATACTCTACAACACGACACATGCATATTCATCAAGAATATGGATGTATTATTCATCATTATTGTTACAACATATTTATCACAAACAACACCTTTATATTTATTATGAAGGTGTGATTTATAATTAATATTCATAAATATTATTAAGTTCGATGGTATGAACGACACCAAAAATGTTGCATTGGTATTTGTTTCAGCAAAAATATATTGCTTCTATTCTTTTCATATTCAACATTCGAGCTCAAACTATAAATTACACATAGAAGTATTCTTTTACAGTGAAATTAGTTGCAACATTTGTTTTTTAAACACATATTGTCTTAAAAACAAGTCCAATGCTCAGGTGAACGTCTCGAGAGTTTGGGAGTAGACCAAATTCGTATAAGGATTGCAAGAGATGTGAACATGTGGAAGCCCCGGTTACAATGAGAGGAGCATCATTCTGCAGCTTCTCGCAGTTTTCGTAAAAAGATCAACGGTTGGTCTACTCCTTATACGAATACCTGAGGGACCCACACACTCCATAGGATGACGTCATATACCCTTTTTGGCAAAATATTCCACTCTTCCTCTAAAGATTTGACTCCTGTGCTGGTACCTGGTAAAAGGAAAGTACAAAAATCAATCCTAATGTACATAACTAGACATTATTTTTGCCCACAATAAATGAGGGATTTCATGGGACACTGGGTATTAACTTGGAATGGAAGGAAGCCAAGTCTCATGTTCTTTTTTTAATACTAGTAAATCATTCTAGATGACAATGTAAAATGACATATTGGAAAAATATAAAGGGCGCAACTGCAAAAAAGTAGAAAAATAATTCTTGAAGCTTATTGAAACGATGCTTGAAATAGTGTTTTAAAAAGCGGGCTTATGGCTAATCAAATAGAGTTTCTTCACTCGAAAAATAAGCTAGTTTATGGTTGCTAAACATGGTCCAAGTGTCGCAATTTCTATGTGGAAATCGACAATGGAAGTATCCCATTGATATTTATTGTTAAAGAAAAAGAAAAGTACAAGGATACCGAAATCCGCACCTTAAAACACTTGAACCATGAGATTGCAAAATTGTCTTCCTCCAAAACTGATTCCGAAGCACCTCCTACTTTAATCACAGTTTATAATGTGTCTGTCGTCACAAGGAGACAATCAAGAACTCAATATTAGTTCGAAATTGTGGATATAATATATCATACAGACAGCATGTGTTCACCGTGAAAGTGCAAACAACATATAAAGCAAGTTTTCAATGGTCGGGGAACTAATTACCAGAACCAGCTAGATAAATCAAGAGGCAGCACATGATTAAGAAAAATAACAGTCAACGCACCATATTATCCTTCAATTAGGACTCGAAATAACTCATCAGAGAAGTCCAATAAGGAATGGTATCTTTTAGCCACTACCAAGAACTCGACAACACACAACAGACATATTGAACATATGATCAGCCTTCTACTTTATAGAAATGGTATATAAAAGCATCACCCCATTTAAGAAAGAATGAACATATATAAGACTGACATCATTATCAAACAAAACGAACCCAATATATCCCACACAAAAGTAGGCCATGGGGGGATAGGATTAATGCAGACCTTGCCTCTATCCCAAAAGATAGAGAGGTTGTCTCCATGGAGACCCCAGCTAGCAAAACAAAAACAAAAATACAAGGAGATAGGTGAAAAAAGTAGTGTAGTAACACACAAGTGTGTGCAAACAGGCAACATGATATAGTGATTAGTGAACAAATAGGGAACCGAAAAATGGAGTACCGGCAGCTACCAAAGCCAACGAAAAACTAAGTACGGCACACAATAAAAGCAGGAAAAACTAATACCAACATAAATACAGTTCATACAAAGAGCCTTAAAGAGAGTATCTGCTGTCGATAGGTGTAGCTCGATATTGCTATGGTATTTTAATAATTTAATATTTCACTTGATGAAAAAACAACATTATATGAAAAGAGGAGAAGAAAAGAAAAGAAAAAGGTCAAAATAGGAAACACCTTTCAAGGTTCCCTTTGTCGAGGCCAATCCAGGAGAGTCTTGTTTTGCCACAGCCAAAATTGAATACCTAAAACATGAAATCCGAATGTCAAAAACATGATGGAGCAGTAGAGACTAAGATGCCATGAACAAATTGAATAATGAATAGTATCCATTCTATGAACATGTAAATAGTATTTTGGGAATAATGCATACGATGAAGTTACAATCATGAGTTAAAAAAACTAGTTATCTAACTGACAAACACCAGGCAGAGATGATAGCTTTTAAATTAATACATCAGTTAACCATATCAAGACCTAATAAAACATAAGGTGGTAAAGCCAGAAATAAAAACATCATATTATAAGATAATATATATCTTTCACCAAGTAGGCAACATATAAAATGGCCAACCAAGACAAGAAGAAGATTCTTATGTGCCATTTAAGGTCAAGATCTGAATCTATCCATGGAAGAAAGACCTTGAGTATAAATATTGATCTACTAACCAAGCATTGTTGAGAAATATACAGGCTTTTTAAGGGATTGTCCTAACTAACTGGGATATAGCTAAATCAGTCCATACCTACTCCTCTGTAAAGGCATTTACGGAAAAACCATAAGGTGCTATCTTCTTCGCTTTCCGATATCTGAACAGTTTCAACTCCCTTTCCCTGTACACGCCGCAAACTAGAGAAGATCATTTAGCAACCTGCACTATGTTTACACAACTTAAATAGCTACATCCACCTAATCCATTCCCAAACCCAACTTGGTCAGATTCTATGGGAAACATCAACTCCAATTTCTGCCTCTTGTTCATAAGTCCAGCATAAAGCTTCCATGTCTAGAAAAAATATATTACCAAGATGACCTACCTAAGTAGCAAAATGGGCATCCATTGACAGCAGCTTTTCAGTCAAGAGATATTCACCGAGTGACACCAAGGTTCAAACAAATATTTAAATTCCAAGAACCTATTGATGAAACACACAACTGCCATTTATCTTGATGATTGGTTTCCTAACTCGATATTTCAGGTGTCTCAAGGTGCTAGACTGCTAGCATAAAGAAACATCCATCAGAAACAAACGATATATTCTCTAAATTCTTCCTTAAGTCTTCTATAATCTCCGTTCAACAAGATTGCCAAAAATAATAGAAGCTACTACAAGCACAATGACCAATCCACCATAGACTTTAATGTAATAATTGCATAGAATTTATCTTTCTTGAAATAAGCTTTTTCTATGCTCCTAGGCCAAGAATAAGATAAGCCAAAACCAAAACCAAAATGATTAAAAGGAACAATTACATGCTTTTCAAGCAAATAATTTGACTCAAACATGCATAAATTCTATTAATAAGACTACAATACCTACTCTTCTCGCCACATCATCCTCACAGTATGTTTAACTTAAGATCAAACTTATAAGCTCTTGGTTCTATTTCTAAATGGCAGAAACCTTTCCAGTTAAATCAACCAATTCTATTAGCATATATAGACATATTGCTATACCATACCTATAGTTACAGAAGTCTTCAAATGAAAATATCAATATAATGAATCACATTGGCTCAGGTTTTACACTCTCTATATGAACATATCAGAGCAAATAACCCTTCATATAATATCCATCTCTCTTTATGACAAATTACATATAGCTTCCTAACAATCAAATCATAATCATGCTTTCACACCAGTGGTTTAATATATATCTTTTATTTACCACTAACTACCAAATGATGCCACCATGAGGCAAGTCCAATTTTGCTACATATCTAGAGATGGGTACAGCCAATAACAGTTAAAACAGCTACCACAAAAGACATAAAACACAACCTCCCCATAAACAAGTGTTGCAACTGGTGAGAGTAATCTAAACTACTAGTAGTCTGGCCACAAGTTCAACCTCCACCATCCCAAGCCAAAATCACATTAGAAAAGAAAACTACTGCAGTCCTAAGCTGGAAACACTCATGCCCATGCTAACTTACGAACCCCCAATGGAAGAGAAAGAAAGGAAAAGTTTCAAGCAGATCAAAGAAGAATGGCAAACTACTGTCCTAAATTATTTCATCACACTCCTATGGCAGCTTCTGGAGTACAGAAGAGTCGGATCACTAGAAAATTATTTACGTACTAGTCTGAAAAGAAAAACAAAGAACAAAAGAAAATATCCTCTAGACAAAGAAAACCCAACACCAAACATGAAAAGAGTAATTCTCAAAGCAGATGTTTGAGCAGGCGAACCACCAAAGAAAAGAACGAAACACTGATGTTCTCACAAAATTTCATCACTTACTTGATCATAAAACTCATGCGCCTCCACTCCTTCAAACCTTCTAGCAACCAGCACACCTCATGCAATCAACAATGTCCCTTGAGGCCTTGACATTCGACTGCGTGATGCAAATAACTGATACTCCGCCCATTTACATGAGAAGCATGTTGATCTTTACCCCATCCAACAATATCATACGAGAAAAAGAAGCAATTACATTTTGTATTTGCACCAGTATATATGTGCAAACCAGAGTCTGACTCATTCCTAAATTACCGATTCTCAAAACTCAAATGGCCATGATACCTACTACATCACAATAAACTGGTAACCAACCATAACCCTTTTCATCCCATATGGGCAAGAACACCCAAGATCAAGAAAAACAAAGAATAAGAGAAATACAGGAAAAGGGCAAAGGGCAAAGCAACACTGGTATATATAATGGAGCAATAACATGTGCAGACATGTTACCGAGCAAGAAAGTCCTACTGGAAAAACATTCCCAGGTCTCTTGCCAATGTAGGTAATAGGAAATGGTAAAGGTAGTTGTAACTTACGTCAAAAGATATACATGGAATGAAAAACAAATTTGCTTCATAATGAACGGACATGACAAGATAAAAAAGAACCTGCTGGTATCATAAATAAATAAAAAGACTTCTGTTTGATACTAATTGATAGGGCCTTGTTGGTAAGTGTTATAAGATCTCGAAGAAGCTGCTGAAAAATACGGACTTGGGACACTTCTGCATCTTTATAATCCAGCAGGAAACAATGAAACATATTAGAAGATGTTTTCTACAATCTGGAGCTGTAAGTCAGCAAGAAAGCCCTAAATTGTCTAGTTAAGTAGAGAGCAAAGGTATTATCAATCGTAATAAAAAGATTGCTTAAACCAAATGATGATGCTCGTCCCACGGTAAACTTAGTACCTTCAATAAATTAAGAAGATTGCTAGATACTCCTAGAGCCATATATCATATTAGTTAGCACCACCATCATCTATGTCTTCCTAGCATAGAGACACTAGGAGAAATCTCATCAACCTATCCTGGAAAAACCTTTGCTCAGACACATGCCAAACTAGATGGTGAGAACAGTGCAAATTAAGCAAAGACTACATGCAAACAATAATTTCATTAGATCAAGGAAACAGAAGAGAGAGTTCTTCGACATAAACCTCTATGAACAACAGATATTGAGATTACACTCTGAACATGAACATATATATTGAATTACCAAACGCGTTTCACCCCCAACCTTGAGCAAGTTGAGAATATATTCCCCCATCCCTTGTACTTGACTAAGAATGTAGTTTGTTTAACTATTTGTATGTGCTCTCTAATAATGGCAACACAGAGGTATCTTGTGGGTAAAAATTAATAGGAAAATAAGTTTTAATGATGACAAAGGCAATATAGGTAAATTCTAGCTCAAAAATTGTTAGGATCTTTAATTTTCATAAAGCATCTCATAATAAAAATTGCCATAGCCTTCATCGGCGCAAGGAACGGAGGGAATAGATGCTTATCTAGAAACATAAACCATAAAAGATGACCTTCATAGGAACTCTCCACCAAAGGGGTAGATCATAATCAGTTGTGCAACTCTAGTTGATCATTAGATATTTGGTTCAGTAGTTGGAGCTAGATGATCATATCACTGAATGTCAATAACGATGTTAAATTTCCCTGATATCAACTACCTCGAATTGACCTAAAAAAATTCCTGGGCAATAAATTCTCAAAGATTGATTTCAAAAACATTGCAAAACTTATACGCAGAATATGACTATGTTCCACTTCACTAGAATTTTCAGCAAGCTATATCAAAGAGATAAAATATGATAAACAACAAAGTAAAAGGAGCCCCGAGAAACTTTTGACGGGAACAATTGTGAACCAATTTCAAGCTTACCTAGTCACAAGTATGGCAGTGCTAACGCAGTTCATCAGATTGGCCGAAATGCATCTCACCATGACAAATGCAACCAAATATAAATTTAGCAGCAATTATGAAACCAAAAGGGAGATGACTAATGCAGCTAAACCATGACAACAGTCAGCACGATGAAACTACCTAGCACATAACCTATTTCAGTGATGTCTTCTTTTTCTTTCTTTTTTTGGAGAGGAGAGGGGGAGATTGTAGAGAGAAAGCTGATAGACTTTGTTAGATAAGCACCACTGGGTAATTGGAATCAGTTGTAGATGAATTATAATTAGGAATAATTTACCATCCACTTGTGATATTTGACATTGCAGTAAACCAAAAAACACATGTAGGACAATAATAGGAAGTAAAAAATGACAGGGTTGCTCATAAATCCGTAGTGAAGGATCCTAAAATAGTAACACCAAGTCTTATGGTTGATCATTATATATATTAGCATGTATGGTACAGAAACATAAAGAGATATAAGATAAACATGCTATATATTATAAGATACGAGATACAAAAAAAAGGTTCAAACATGTTAACATAGGCATAGAAGGAAATGAAGTGTTCTATGACATCAAACAATTCAGAATGGATAACTCTTATAAACAAACAATATCACAAGAAACAATCATAGATGTAGAAAACAAAAAGACCCACATTTAGCCAAATCTTACAATTAGCCAAAAGATGAAGAAAGGATCATCTATAAAGTGGGATGGTGAGGCAACAGAAGAAATAATCATCACCAAGATGGTTATGTCAACTCCAACACCTACCATTTCAATCAAAATGACAAAAGTGAAGAGAAACAACCTGGCAATTTGCTTTTATACAAAAAAATGGCACCAAATGCAGCTGGCTTGCTGATTACCATGTTGATTAGAATCAGAGACCCTCCTCAGCAGTTCCAGAAGATAAAAGGACAAAGCATAACCCATTAAGCTCAACATACACAAGTAACCAGCATTTACTTTGTTGCCTGATAATGCACATCACATGATTGAGAGTTTACCTCATTACTAATACAGAGACATAATTGATCTGATGTAGCTTCTTTATATTTTGTACAGAGCTTAATATCTCAAGACAACAAGAAGAGGTAACACACAGTGATCATTAGCCCTCAAATCGAAAAGATCCTACAGTCTCACCACCCACTATGTAGTATTTAAGCCAATGACCTCCTAACCAAAACCTGTTTAGCTCTAACAGTAGCCAGCTACGCTCAGTTGTGATGGATCACTGATTTTTAAGTGATGCACATGGGTGGGAGTATTTACAAGTCGATGTAATTGTGCATATACATCAATCAGCTTAGAAACACTACTTCACATCTAATAAGAAGAGATCCCATACACTCATCAGCTGACATTGAATCAAGAACCACCAACACCACTCTGTATTTTCAATAGCATTCAGTGGATTAAACCATACTTAAACAAATACCTGTATGGAAGCCTAGACTAACATATAAATAATGGGTAACATATTTAAGAACGCTAGTCAAATCTCCCTCACCAACTCATCGGTTTGCAGATGAAAAATTTTCAGGGTGGGTTCAACTTATATGGCACATAACCTTTGTCCGTAAGTAAAGAGATTGAAGATTCAATTATGGATATAAAAAGACCTAAATGACACATCCACTCCAACTTCCAGCAAACAAACATACACCATAAATCTCCATTCCCAGAGTTGCTTGTCACTCCTAAAGTGCAAATACCACATGGGCATTTCATACATGCCGCCAGCTTCAATGAATGAAGAGAGAACGAAGCAAGATGAACATAAGATAAGTTACCAAATTGTGTTCAAGGAAGTATCTAAAAGAATTGAACTAGCCATCATAAACCATGAATCGTGTGCCATTCACAGGAAACATATTTTAGTCCTACTGTAAAAGACACCAGCTGATCAAAAACACAATGTTGATAACGGATTCTAGAACCAACATCTTGCACATCTAGAATTCACTAATTAAACAAGCCAAGAAAAAATAATTCAAATGATGACATATAGTTTGCTTTAGATGACACACAGACAGACGTCAATTTAAAGGCCAACTCTGAGTTCAATAACTGCTAACATTTGCTGAGGGACAACAATATCCAAAATAGCAGGCATATTATAATAAATGTCTCTTATGGGATAACATTTCAAACAAACCTAGACTTCAATTTAAAGTACCATCGCTCCGATAAGCAATCTAAGAGACCACAGCCTAGCATGAATAGTTCATCTGTGTCCTTGAGTCCGTTGCATATCGTACGATCCCCAAGAACCAGGTCCAGGTCCATACTGAGGATAACCTTCTGCACCAGGCTGCACCTGATAATTTTCACAGTAGTAAAAAATTTAAGTCCCAAAAAGAATGAAACCTTTAAAGCGAACCCCTAAGAAACAAAACAATGACAATGGAGTGAAGATAATCACGGTAGTGTTCACACTACACTCCAAACAAAGAAACTAGTAACAAATGAGATAACTTACAGGATTCATTTGATTCATAGAACTCATGCCATAACTTGCAGGGTAAGAATTCCCTGCATAGTTAGCTTCAGCATTGCCATAATTTGTGTTGTAGCCTGTGTATAAATACCCCACAAAACCATTAACAAGCAAAATTAGAGTCTCAGTGAGGGTATGGGTTCAGCCTAAAGGGTTCAACAAAATTTGGCAAGCAATTTAATTTAGACAAGGAATTGAAAACTTGTTCAAGACAATCATATATGCTGAAAGCTCCCAGCCCCAATAACCATACTGAATCCTTGAGCATTTTATTATGCAAATGAACACTACCATGGAAAAACCATACTGAATCCTTGAGTATCTTATCAGGCAAAAGAATGCTTCCATAACAAGGGATGAAAGTTCAATTTGACCACTAATACATACAAAAGGGAAATACATTGTAAAACAAAAAGGGAAGCCAAGGGTATGTAGACAAACCACAAAAATAAAAATAAAAAGAAACATAGAACATAGGATTTTGAGAGAAGAACGAATCACGCATCATACAAAAAGACCAAGACAATTGGCTAGCTTGGGAAACTTACTGTAAAGCCAAAATTTACGAGGGATTCGCTCAATTTACACAAATACTAAAGCAGGTGTTTAGCTTAATATATAAAAATACAAAGGCATCTCTTGAGACTTCAAAGCATGTCTTGTTTCGCTTCACACACCCAAAGAAAGTGCATGACCGTTATTAATGTTTGAATCCTGTAGGAACATATTGTGTCTTTGGCTTGGCTAGGTATTCAGCATGAATTGAAGTAGGAAGTGTTCATGCAGATGTTAACCAGGTTTCTGCCATTAGTCTTTTCTTAATTCTTATGTGTGGGGGCCATAGTTCAAGAGTTATCTTCATTCCCATGTTAGCTTTAGTGTACAACAGACGTCAAGAACAGCTAATTGCCTAAGAAAACTATCAACAGAACTGAAACACAAGTAATTGCATACCTGGATTTGGATTCCCTACCGCTGCAGCAGCACGAGCCCTTTTTTCAGCATTAGCCATCTCGGCACGCAGCTTTTCCAGCTCACGGGCCATAGAGAGTAAATTCTTCTCCATCACTTGACCATGCTCATAGTTCTCTGCATGCCCCTTCTTCTCATGCTCAATTGCAGCCCTGATGGGAATAATATGAAAGACACATTCATATGCAATATGATATATTTCCTAGGTTCATTAGAAGAAAGAAAAAAAAACCATAAAAACAGACGTCTTCTTTTCGAACATAAAAATGAATGCCTGCATATTCTAAACAAAACCAACTTTAACATCCATGCAAAGCAATCTTAGTCATACCAACACGATTGAACAGTCCTGCTACCCATTTGGAGCAAACTAATATCATAAAATATCATAAACTAATATATATAACTTTAACACATTTATATATGCATATACACATGCACATACAAATAAGGATCAAGAATTACTATTTAGAAATGGAGAAAGAAAAAGGCGCTTCCCATAGAATATATATTTGAGACAGTTAGCTAATAAAAGTATAAGAGGAGTCAGCATTCTTGGCTTTCTGCTATTTGAATAGGACATAACCATGTCAAGACTTACTTAAAGATAATGTGTGAAGCTTGGTTTAAGAATTTACTTTTCATGTCAACTATTGGAGTTCTTTACTAGAGAATAAAAAAGAACTTGCAGGATCAAGGATATAGGGATAAACAGCAACACCTTAAAAAAACTGATTAAATGGTTCGTCGAAACATGAGAAATTGCTATTAATACTGAACATCCGATACTAAATAACGAGCATAGGAACATGAAGTTAGAGAGCCATTCACACAGTTACCTCGCATGTTGCAATTCCTGTCTAAGCCCTTCAATTTCTGACTTGAGTGCAGGAACTTGCTGCAAGTCAGCATTAGCTCTGGCAAGATCCTGGGTCATCGCCTGAACCTGAGCGGTAAGCTTCTGACGTGTGGCAGTCAATTCCTTAATATCAGCATGAAATTGCATAAGCTCAGCCCGCATGCTTTCCACTCCATGAAGATCATGTTCCATTTTGGCTGATTTCTCATACAACTCCCTCATCTGCATATCCTTCTCCATAAGAAAGTTGCGAGCAAAGCGATCTGTTTGTTGAAGCTCGTGTTGTGCAGCTTCCAGTTCCTGCTTAAGTGCAACATGAGTTGCAGCTAGACGCTGATTATCAACCAAAAGCCCCTGAATGTCCTGATGTTGAGCTGCAAACCGCTCCTCAATAATAGCAGGGTGAGGAGGGAGTTGTCTGGGACCCATCCCGAACTGAGCTTCCCTCATCTCTTCTAGCAACGCATGATGGGGCATTGGACCTAGATTCCTTACAAATGGAGGCTCGTAAATGGGTGGCACTCCAGCATGAGGAGCACCTTTCATCGGAAGCGGAGGTCCACGGTTCCTCCCAGACATCTTTCTCAAGGAAATTCAACAAATGAAAGAACTTAACTCCCTGGAGAATATATTATGTCTACAGTGTGTAGATTGACCTAAAAGATATAAAGAAGATGAGAAACTAACCAGAAGAAACTGTTGCAGTTAATCTCATAAAAGCACATGGAAGCATACTAAAACCGTAAATTTAACTCAAAAGATTATTATATCCAGCCAATAGATTCTTGAAGTTAACTAAACATAATTCCACAACCCAACAATCTTCCGATTTCTGAAAGAGATGTGAAATTTGCTACTCCAAGAAATCAAAATGGTAAGCACAAACACCAGCCCAGGAACATAAAAACCTAATCCATGATACGGAAGCCCCACATAAGAGAAGAGTGCACAATAGAAGCACAGAAACATTACTCCCTCGGCTCAAAAAGTGAACTACACTCTGAATTCGGAAGCCAAACAGGTCCTCAAACGTCGAGCCTGTTAAACATTTCAATCTTTCTGAGGAAGTTTTTGCTAACTTCGTTACAATTCCTACCAACCACTAGGAGTATACAATTGTTTTGTTGATAGGAAATTGGTAAACAGAACTCAAAAATAATTTTGCATTAAATTAGTAAAATTATGGGTAGGGCGTAGCAATAACAATATTCGATACAGATGATAATCCATGACAGATTATACCCTTTCAACAAGAAAAGGCATGCATCAAAGGAACACAAGAAAACCCTAGAAAAATCTAAAAGATGATTAATTAATTGAACACGCTAACCTGAGCCCTGAAGAGAAGGGAGGAAGTGCTTTGAGTCTCCCGTCTGAGAGAGAGAGAACACCTAACAGCAGCGTTGTGAGGTTGTCGAAATTGTTTTTTTAATCCGAATCTTAACCCGACCCGAATGAAGTACAACTTTCCATAAATCTAATCCTAATAGTTTCATTAATAGGCAGTCTCTAAATCGTTAGAAGGTGAATTTTATTTGATAAAATAAAAATTTATCTTTTAATGATTCTAAAATTCTTTAAACGATTTTATATCATGGGTCTTTTTTAACCATTCAGCACTCGAATTCTATTGTAAATAATTACCGAACAATTATATTTCATTTAACATTATTTCATGAGAGACTCATCATTCTGACCGCTTAATCATTATACATCAAACCATTAAGCAATTATCAAACAATTTTTTAATGATATAAAATTATCATTTTATATCTAGTCTCATATTGAAGCATTCAGAGCTTTTTAAAAATCCTGTCAAACCATAAAATGTATAATAGAATCAGACTTTTATCTCTTGCATATCCTAAATTTGAAAACTCCTCAAAATTATTATCATAAGAAATAAATGAATTTTATTTTATTTACATCAATAAAAAACTTTTAATTAAATGTTTAAGAAAAAATATATTTTAAATAAATATGAAATATATATTTAATATTGTAATCTTTAAAATAGATAAGTTTTTGTAACTTTTTATATATTTTGAATTTTAATTCTCCATTTTAATGAAATTTTGAAGAATGTACTGAGAATACTTTTGATTAAACGAGTAACGTTGATATTGCATTCCAATTCGGTTGTTATTGAATTAGTTGGATTCTCATGCAGCAAGTTCAGGCCTTACTGTATAACTACCAATGAACCTCTAATGTCATGTTCGATTCTTGAAAAGCTTTGTCATCAGATGTTGTCAGTCTGATTAAACTTTACAGTTTAGAAAAAGACAAATTACATGAAAAAAGTGACGTACTTTAACTTGGTTCTTATTTTGGGTAACGTATTTTCAAAACTTCTATTTTAATACCTAAGATGTAAAGTTTTAAGTATCTAAGTACCCATGTGACCGGGTTGAAGATTAAATTTAGATTAGAAAAAGAGTAATTTTAGATTTAAAAAATTCATGTCACTAACCACGTCAGCAAATAATACTGAGTTGGATACCATATCACTCGACACATCAGCATGATAACCGGTTAATGCTTCAACCAGTTATCCGGGTACTTAAATGTTTAAAACTTTACATATTATGTACCAAAATAAAAATTTTAAAAGTACATTACCCAAAATAAGAATCAAGTTAAAGTATGGTATTTTTGCATGTAATTTATCATTTAAAAAAACATGCTAATATTTTATTTTCATCATTTGTTAGAGAGGGATTAGTAGCATGATCAGACCTCCCTTACATTTATTTATTTAATAAGATTGATTAAAGTATTTAATGTAATATCATTAACAAAAAATTTGCCCTTCCAAAAAAACTAAAATCAATTCTTAAAAGTTGTTTAAAAAAAAAAAACTAAAATCAGATCATACATTTCGTACATTTTTTATAGATTTTGTAGTTCGATTACTTATATCAGATATATTTTTCATAATCTGTGTAATACAATTATCTTGAAGGACTAGTTTTTAGGATACTTTCAAAACAATAATATTTAATCTTAAATAAAAAATAAATACGATAATTAACTGATATAAAATAAATGTATTGTTTTATTTGTGATGTTTATAAGTATACAAGATAGATAAACGTTAAAATAACAACCCAATAGGGTTTAACTTTGATTCGTTGATCAATTTATGTGGCTCATATTCGGATTTATGGCAAAGAAACGTATCTGTTAAAGCTATAAATTAATGAACATAATATTTGTGATACACTATTTGGTAGCATCGACATCAGTATACGTAATAACCAAAATACTTATTTTAAAATGTTGGTTAAGATATCATTTACTATGCTATCAAATTCGAAAGTTCAACTTCATAATCATAGAGCGAACTTGTTAACACGCGTTTTTTTTTTTATAAATCATGGTAATGACGTCAAATTATATAAGCAGACAAAAGTTTGAGTCTACCAATCGTAATGTAGATCCAATCCATTTCGATATTGGGCTTCTTATGTATTAAGCTCCTTAGTTAACCACCAAACCAACCGATGTATACTTAAGAACCGCTTGGAACCGGTTTCTGGTATTGGGTACCGGGTACCGGGTCTCTATTTTTATTTTTTTAATCATTTCATACTTTAAAAATTAATTATTAGTCTATTACAAAGTATTAACATAAAGAAATAAATATTAAAATGGTGAAAACTAATCTGATAAAAACTAAGTACTAGTAATTACATAAGTAAGAGATTAAGAGGCAGAGATAACTGATTCAACTTTTAAGGAATCGACGATAAATGTAACCCTAAAAGGTAAATTAGGAGTTTCAATTTTAGTTTAACAAATATAATAAACATATAAAATAATTTAGTGGGTACTCGACATTTCCGGTTCTGGGTACCAATAGGACCGGGTACCCGGTCCGAAAACTGGTTTCGGCGGGTACCCAACAGTTAACGGTTCCAAGATATGAAAATCGGAACCAGTCCCGATCGATTCCATATTTTAGGAACCGGAACCAATGTGGTTCCAGTTCCAAAAGCAGGTACCCGGTTCCGATGCTCACCCCTAAAAATCACATTTGATTTTACACCAACGGTCAATATATATGTATACTCGAACAACCAGATTAATTACATGTCATCCCCTGCCTCCTAATCCTTTGACGGACACCAGAGAAGTGCAAGTGACATGGCCTGCAACCTCAAGTCGTGGTCAAAGTCATGTGAAATATGCTTTTACACATGATCTTAGTGTAAAATCCCATGTGTTGTAACCATTTTTTTATTTTTTATTGTTCTCATATGAACTTAACTCTCTCTCTCTCTCTATACATACATACATAGGGGAGCGTTCAAATGAAAATCGCCCTCATTTGTGTAAACCGTACAAACCACCCTCATACGTCCATTTCATTGTTTAATCTTATGAAATTTTTTCATGAAATTGTTTAATCTT